TTGATGATGTTTTCCCTTTTACTAGTTCAAACAATGTGTATTAATCTTATTATACTAAATTTGGATTTTACTGTTTTCATTTGGTTACTCGAGGTGTTCTTTTGCATTAAATATTAATCGTGGCACTCAGGAGCCATTTATAATGGAGATTGATAACCTAAATAGCTTAGGGGAGAAAACATAACTAGTGTAATTTCAGAGTGCTGAAATAGAAAGCCGGTTTGAAAAAATCAGAGGCTGAAGTAGAGTTTATACATTTTGAGGGAGGACAAAAATGAGATTAAATCAAAGAATTAAGGCTTTGCCTAGCACCATAATGTGAATGTTGTTAGGGAAGATAAGATCTTGACATCTCTCTCCTGTGAATTTAAGGAGCTCAGAATTTTATTATACCTCATTAGCACCTTTTACTTCTGCCTGTGTGATGGCAGCCTGACTTTGGAGGGAGGCCATCTGAGGTATACAGTTTATTTGCATCTCTTTTTTTTTCTTTATTTAACTTATTTATTATTATTTTCCAGTTTGATCAGAGAGAAACAGAGAAAGAGATAGAGGGAAAGCGAGAAAGCAAGCCGCCATGTGGGAGTCTAGCACTTTAACCACCACACCACCTGTCGGCCCCTATTTGCATCTCTTGAACCACCACATTTTCCACATCTTTGTCATTTGAACAGAATCAAGAAATAAGGCTAAATTTAATTTCATGTCTAAAGAAGTGACTTTTTCTTTTTCATTTATGTAGGTTTTTGTCATAGGGTGCATGTGCTCCCCAGAGACAGAGAGAAAGAAATAGTGAGAGGGAAAGTGAGAAATCACCCCCCAGGAGGAATGAACACCCTACAATCTCTTCTCTTCCATTCTTCTTTTGGAATTTTAGGCATGTGTGCACACACACACAGGTGCGTTTCAAGCCATGGGGTCCAGGACTCAAACCACAGTCAGCCATGTGGGAGTCCAATAGCTGGGAGTCCAACAGATGGCCCCAAAAACTCATTTTCTACAAAATTTATTTTCTACAATTTGAATTCACATTGTGAATATATTGAAAAATCAGTATGGTTTTCCTTCTCTATGTATTTCAGGGGTATTTAAAAGATGCAAAACAAAATTATGTATAGATTTTGTATGCATGAATTCCATACAGGTCTAAGAATTTTCTTTTTAAGCTTTAAAAACATTGTCCTGAGAGGGGAAAAAAATGGTTTTATACTGTTTAGAAAGTACTACTGGTGGGGTCAGTAGGTGGTATAGTGATTAAGGCTCTGGACTCCCACATGGTCGACCGAGGTTCAAGTCCCAGACCTGCCCACTTGAAAATCATTTCAGGCACATGTATGTATATGCTTAAAATCCCCAGAGGAGAATGGAGGAGAATGGATTGCAGTGTGGCCATCCCTACTTGGGTGGGGGGAGGGTGGGAGGTGATTTCTCACTTTTTCTCTCTAGTGAGTACATGTGCCCTAGGGAAAAACGTTTAAAAAAAAGGGAAGGGGATGGTTATAGTGGTTATGGTACATTGAGATTTGTAAAACTGGACTATTTTACTAGAAAAGCGATCAATTTATATTTCTTCTTTGATCAAATAGTATTCTGAAAGCTATCTAAACCATACTGAACTTTTTACACTCTCTATATTTTCATAACTCTTGAGGTCATTGTGCATAAAATAATACATTGGTAAGAAAGATTAGTGTATTCCAAAATATAATAAGTCAGCATTCAAAATAACAAACTATCTGTAATACTAGACTATAATTTTTGTATGTATTTTATGTATATTTATATATATGTGTGTGTGTGTGTGTGTGTGTTTGTGTGTATATATCTGTGGATAAACCGCTGAAAAAATATTTCACTACCTAACTTGTAAAAGAGTAAATAAATGTGTTCAATGAAATATAGATCTTTTATTAATTTTAAACTAGTGAATTTCCTTTCAATTTTTATGACATTGACGTGTTGTTTTTTTAACATAACATAATTAAATGTCCATTTTTCACGTTATTTTTTCCCTTTCCTTCTACATTTACTGTTCTCTTTCTCTCTTTTGTTTTAGAGACAAGGCCTTGCTATATGGCTCAGGTTGGCCTTGAACTCATGGTTCTCCTGCCTCAGCCTCCTGAGTAATTGGAGCTGTAGTCATGCCACCACGTCTGGCATTTATTTTCTCTTTTTGTAATTGTGCATCTTTTTTTCTCCTCAAACTTTGTCTGTTCTATTTGTTTATGTACTTACACATCTTCCAAATATATATACTTTCCTTACTCTACTTTTCTTGTTTACCTTATCCACATTCTGTTCTCTTTGACTTTTACTCTGAAATACATGTTCTCTCTTTTTTTCCCCCATTGGGTATATAACTTGTATATGCTCATATTTAAGTTATGTTAGAGACAATGAATAATAAATCTTGAACAAATATAAATAATAATTTCCTTTATTAAAAAAGGAAATAAAATTTCCTGTGATTCTCGTTCCCCAATATTTTATATCGAACTTCTTTTCTCAGTCAAGGCCATAGACATTTCTATACATGTATTGGTTTTCTTTGGTGACTTCAGTTATTTTTCTCATTATTTTCTATAGTTTTGAATTTTTAAAACATTTCTGTTTCATATTTTATAGTGGGAAGAGATTGGTGAAGTTGATGAAAACTACGCCCCTATCCACACATACCAAGTATGCAAAGTTATGGAACAGAATCAGAATAACTGGCTTTTGACCAGTTGGATCTCCAACGAAGGTGCTTCCAGAATCTTCATAGAGCTCAAATTTACCCTGCGGGACTGTAATAGCCTTCCTGGAGGACTGGGGACCTGTAAAGAAACGTTCAACATGTATTACTTTGAATCAGATGATGAAAATGGGAGAAACATCAAGGAAAACCAGTACATCAAAATCGATACCATTGCTGCTGACGAGAGCTTCACAGAACTGGATCTTGGTGACCGTGTGATGAAGCTGAATACAGAGGTCAGAGATGTAGGCCCTCTAAGCAAAAAAGGATTTTATCTTGCTTTTCAAGATGTCGGTGCTTGCATTGCCCTGGTTTCCGTGCGAGTGTACTATAAAAAATGCCCTTCTGTGGTGCGACACTTGGCTGTCTTCCCTGACACTATCACTGGAGCCGATTCTTCTCAGCTGCTCGAGGTGTCAGGCTCCTGTGTCAACCATTCTGTGACAGATGAACCTCCCAAAATGCACTGCAGCGCTGAAGGGGAGTGGCTGGTGCCCATCGGGAAATGCATGTGTAAGGCAGGATATGAAGAGAAAAATGGCACCTGTCAAGGTAAGAGTTTGCCTGCCGATCTTCAGGGGCTGTCTGCTTCTGTTGGATCATGTATATGTATTACTTCCAGTGATTATGAGCAAATGACCTTTTTCTTTGCTAATTTATGGAAATGATTTCTGTTCAAGTCTGATTTCTCTCTTCTTAGAATTTCAAAATTTCTGGCAAGGATGAAAGATTTAATGTTATATTTTATCAGATATACATAATTAATACTCAGAGAGTGGCGGACTTGCAGTACAACATTTCATATTCATTTTGCTTTCAGAAGTTTTGTTTCTGAACACCCTAAACCAAGGGATTAGCAACTTTTGCCGTGTTATTGTCTGTTGCTGCTGTTTTCTCTTCATGATGTTAGTTTTTACTCTTTACTTATTGTAGAAGGTTGAAATGCAAACACTCAAATGAGACTCGTGTTGGCATTTTCTTTCTTTTAACTGCCTTTTGAAAATTCTTCAGAAATAAGTTAGGCCTTATAAACTTCCCAGCAACACATTTCTAAGTGGACAGGACATAGTTTACTGTGTTGTTTACTTATGTTTGCTATGCTATGCCTGCTTTTAAAATTTTCATTTCAATTTTAAATGCATCATGAGCAATGCCCTACAAGAATAATGGTTTGGAGACAGAGCCAATACAAAAAGGTCATTTCAAAGCAATTTGCACTTAGAGTTTTTTTTTTCTGTTTTAATTTTTCTTTTAAATGGAAACTTGATTATGCATGCTTCCCTCTTCGTTTGAAAGTGCTCTTACTTTGTGCACAGTGTGGTGAGTTGCCCTTTTAAACTTGGCTACTTGTCAATGGCTTTTTGAAGCAGGATAGGACCTTATGTCAATGTGAACAAACTTTTTTTTCCCCTTTAAAAAATAGTTTGTCTTGGGACCAGCAATTAGCGTAATGGCTATATCGCTGGACTCCTATGTAATCGACCGCGGTTCGAGTCCTGGACCCGGTGGATTAAACTCATGCTAGGTGTGTGTGCATGTGTGCCCAAGATCCCGAGAGGAGAATGGAGGAGAAGGGATTGCAGCGTGGGCATTCCCCCAGGGGAGTGATTTCTCGCTTTCTCTCTCTGTCTGTCTGGTGAGCGCACGTGCTCTATAGCAAAAACCTCTCAAAAAAAAAAAATAGTTTGTCTTTTGAACATAACATACATGATGTGTATATACTAACTAGGTAACGGAAATTAACTTGTATTAGCTGAGGGGAAAACCATATGCCAAACAGTCCTTTAGACCCACCTGCTATCTTCAGGTGCATTTTTTTTTTTTTAAGTTCATCATATTGTGTGAATCGAACTTGCTTGTTTATTCAGGCTTGACCATAGAATGATTATAGATCTAGGGAAATAAAACTAGGAAAATTATCTCTAAATCATGGTGACTTTGGTTAATTAATAACTCTCCAGAAACATATTGAACTACATTTAAATTTCCATTTTTAGCACCAGGTCCTGTTTTGTGTCTTTATGATGTCATTTATGATCAATTCTATGGTTGATTTTACACCTATTCGTATAATATAATTATATCATACATATGTATGATATAATTATATTATACGTGTGTGTGTACATGAGGGTATACACACACATACATGTTCAAAAGTTCTTTTAAATCAAAATGATGTTTCTAAAATGCTTATTGTGAAAATGAAACTGTAGTTTGCTGCGGACTGGATTTAAAGAAAAGTTCTAACTAACATTGTCTTTTCTTTTTGAGACTCTCATTGGTTTAAAGTGAGATTGTATATAATCATAGGACACAGGAGTTAAACTTAATTTATTGGCTACATTTTAGTGTAAATATTGCAAATATAAGTGTTACTATTTATAAGAATTTGCTCTTTAGTATTGCAAAGCAACATACTCTACTTGACAGTGCATATACTTTTAGAGACTGTGGTTCATTTAATTTAAACTGCAGTGACCTTTGTTGTCATTTGGATTGACAGAGGATATAAGAGACCTCTATTTTCAGAGGCTAAATTTTGATGACTAATGGGATTGAAACATTCTGATGCTACTTTTTAAAACATCTTGGGAAAGTCAAGTTTTGAGAAAATGTTTTCTAGTGCAGGTATTCAACACACATCTTTCTGTCCTCTCATTCTTCGCTTCATAGTGGAAGAGTAGAGGCTTCATTGAGACAGTGGGATGAACTGGAGAGGTTGCGTTGTAGCAAACTACTGAACTGGACTCTGTGCTAACTCATGCATTCAGCAGCCACTCTGGCTGTAGGAACAGTGGCTGCAAGGTAGGGGTGACAGTTTGTCAACTGCACAGGTCAGAGCATGTGTTACACAATGCAGTCTATACAAATAATGCCCCTTGGTGTTTTACTATGTACAAACAGCATGTGCCCACTCTAGTAGGGATTTCAATGTCTACTCTACAAATAATTCATCTCGATGAATGACCAACTCATTGAGTGAAAAAATAAATGCTGAAAGTTTAGTTTGGAGAATGAATGCATCACCGCAGATCTTCCTGAGGAATTCACATCTATATATAATGGGCTTGTATGTGTATGTGAGAGAGAGATATAAAACACCGCTCTGATGCTAACTCATGCTATGATATTAATGTGTGGTATTTGAACCTTTAAGGAGATCTTGATGTTTTATATATATATATTTTTTTTCTTTTTTTTAATGAAAGAGAGGGATGAGCACATGGCCTCCCACCTTCCAGGTTACTTGTAACACCTGCTGCATCACAGCAGCTGAACCTATTCTCAAAAATCCAAGAATCTAGGAATCTAGGAATCATTGTTGAGGTCCTTTTCCTGCTCATTACCCAGTTCTACGTCATCCCACAGTGTCTCTAGAAATTACTACCTATCAAAATCATCCACTTCTCTTTTTTTCTTTTGTCATACTATCTAGAAGTATACCTTGTTGGAACTTTTATTTTCACATATTATGAAACTTGATATATAGTTTTAATTTTTGAACCATGTGAATGTATCATTTATACCAAAATACAGAGTTTGTTATTTCACACACTCATCACAAACACACACATGCAGCTGCTCACTGATACACGTCTATGATTTCCTGTTGTATAATCACTAACACCCTGCATGGCAAGGCCACTGTTCTCTCCAGACTCATCTAAACTCAGCCTTCTCCACTTCCCTGTGCACTCGTTTCTCTAAGGCGTTTTTCTCATGTTCTCTACCTATTCTCTGTTCTTTTCTCTTCCCCTGGAAGATTTTTATTACTCCTTTAAAATTTTTTTTTATTTTAGATTTTTACCATAGGGCATATGTACTCACCAGAGAGAGACAGAGACAGAGAGAAAGAACATGAGAAATCAGCCCCCAGGAGGGATGGCCACACTGAAATCCCTTCTCCATTTTCAGTTCAGGATGTTGGACAGGCCTATATACAAGTCCAGCATGATTTCAAGCTGCTGGTCCTGGACTCGAATCATGGAACAGTCTGTGTGGGATCTAGTGCCTTAAGTATCACACCACCTGCTGGTTCATTCTACCTACTTTTATTCCTCATTAACTCATGCTAAAGTTTCAAATCTGTGCTTTGATATCCCTTCTTCAGAGAAGCTGTCCCTAACCACTCAAGATTAGGGCAAGCCTCAGTTATTTACTCACTTCTCTTTCCTTTTTGTAACTGTTTAGAATTGTGAATTTGTGCCCATTTATAATTGATTAATGTCTTTACCTCCCACCAGTTAACTATTAATATATACTCCTTGACAGGAGGTGTACTATATGTTAACTTAAGGAATGAGGAAAAAAATAAAATAAAAAGGCAAGAAGAAGGGAAAGTATAATAAATTGGAAAGAAAGGAATGAGAATATGCAAAGGCATAAAATAATACTGTATTTTGGTGCCAGCAGGTGGTGTGGTGATTAAGGCACTGGATCCCACATGGCTGACCATGGTTTGAGTTCCAGGCCTGGTGGTTTAAAACACACGCTAGGCACATGTGTATGCATGCCCAAAATCCAGGGATGAGAGGAGAACGAAGGGATTGTGGTGTGGCCATCCTCCTGTGGGGTGATTTCTCACATTTCTTCTCACTGTCTCTCTCTGGTGAATGCATGCACCCTCTGGCAAAAGTGTGAAAATAAAATATTACTGTGTTTTAAAATAATGTGTTTTTCCAATTTGGTTTACCTTTGTATTTATCTGTGAAAAGTGTCCTTGGCCTAAAAATTAACAGCTATGTTGCTTAAATTGATCCTTTCTTACTCGTAAGACTCTCAGGCCAAATTCTTATGTTCTAGCTATTAAAACATATATTATTGGCACTTTATGTATTAACCATTAAAGAGGGTTCCTTTTGTAAAAAATCTGGAACTTCCTTTGTTTATATAAACTTTCTTTTTTAATAAATTTTTATTTAATATTATTATTTTATACATTTGATCATTATACATCACTTGGCTTGCATAGAGAGTTTATCCAACATGAAATATACCTTAGACCAGTGCAGTTGAGAATACTATACACGTTATCACCACATCAACAGATAATAAATCATTACTGTGTCCCACAAAGGTCTTATGTAGAGGCTATCTTAATGACTTTTGTAGAGCCCAAAATATCACATATTGAAATTGGAAACTATTATTACTTAATGACCTTTAATTATTCAGTTTCTCTGATAACCAAACTGTTTTAGAATTGATTTAAGTATATAACTACAGTAAGAAACTGAAATTCAAATATATCTGTTGTAACGAGTATTGTATACTGGGTCTGTCCTGGAAGGTGGCTGGTAGGTGCTGTCTGATCGTGCCCAGGTGACCTGTTACACCTGCCAGTCAGGAAGGACGTGGCCCAGGGACTTTGAGAGACTAAACCTTCAGGGTTCAGAATGCCAGGAGGTTTGTTCACATGCAGCCTCAACCCAAAAGACAATCAAGCAGTGATTTAGAAGTCTGGTCAATTTAGTAATTTATAATCTGTCATCTTCAAATACTTCCTTCCACTTAAATCCCTTTTAGAGAAATAGGCCACTTCATCCATA